CCCCCTCCCCCCCTCCCTTCACCAAATCACCCATCATTTACTACTTGCTCAGTGCTGACCATCCTCAGGACCCCATCTCATGGTTAACTAATTCTTTCTCTCTCTCTCTACTCTCTGCTCTGTAGAGAGAGAAAGAGAGTGAGAGACAATTAGAGCAGTCTCTTTCAGAGCTTTAAATGACACCTGGGAACAAAATATCGTAGGGCCTTCTATTAGATAAGCAGCATGTCTTTTAAAATTGGTGATTGCACTGATACAAATGTACTCATCGTCATGAATCATTCTTAGCGATTCGACTAATACAACATTCTGATGTGCATTAAAATTTTATAACAACTTCACTACGATTTAAAACTGATGATGAGATACGTATAATGCTCGATATTCACCGATTCAAAATTGATAGTGAAACACGTGTCATGATCCGCCCGGGAACGGGTCCCTGTACACCCCAACACAACGTAATAAACAATATACGCCAGAAAAGCTGAACCCAAATTAAATAAACAATGTTTTGTCCAATAACTCTAAAACTGAAGGACAACTCTCAGCAGGGTGAAGAATTTCCTCTCTCCGTTTGATTTCCAGCTGTGAGTGCGCTGTCTCTGGTAGTTTATTATGAAGGACCGCTACTTTTTTTTTTTGATCTCCCTACGAAGCTAAAATTTGCTTAAAGATTTGTAAAGAACTGGCATCTTGGTCCGAAGATTACTCCCCAAATTATTCTCCAGATTTTTGGTCCCCACCTGCTGCAGGTTAATTAATTTAAAATTAATGTTAACATTAGGGCCTTAATCAACTCTGTGTTCACACCATGGAGGTCTAGCACAAAGCTAGCTTGTGTTCCGAAACAACAGAGCATATTATAGGTCTGAAGGCGAGGTTAAGTCGGGTTCGGGTCGAGCTCGAATTCGGCTTGGTGATAAGGAAGACCCGTATCCAACCCGTTTAATAAACGAGTCGGCCACCCCCCACCCGTACCGATAACCTTGGAAAGGCGGGTACGCACACCCTACCCGTTATCTCGTACGGTAAACTGGCCGGGATCCGGTAGAAGTCGATACGGATTGAAAATCTTGAATTGAAAAAAAAAAGTTTGTAAGTTTGAAAAAGACACAAATATAAATAAATAAATAAAAATACAGCTAACATATGAAAAAGATCATTAACTACTACAACTGCAATATGTAAACGAGAAACTGTAACAAAATATCTAGCTAACAAAGAGGACGTTGGTTCAGGGTTTGTAAGAACATCTCCAACAGCTTCCCCAATAATTTCTCCAAAATGGGGAATCAAATGTCATATTCTCCAAATTATTTTTGCTCCAACTCCAACAGCTTCCCCATTTTGAAGAATCATGCATTTATTACAATAATAAAAATATTCTACATCTTTGACTAATAAATAATAAATTATTTATTATTTTGAAGAATCCCCATTTTGACCAAATTATTTATTATTATAATGAGGAGATGGAGTTGTTTTTTGTGGGTTGAGTCTAGAAGAACGTGAAAAAGTGCTTCCCCAAATATTTGCAGAATGCTGCAAATTTGGGGAATGCTCTCTATTTTTTCTCTCCTATCCCCATTTTGGGGAATGAGATGGGGAATCTGTTGGACCAAAAAAAAGCTCGAAATTCTCCAAATTTTAGAATACCAAGAAGGTGGGGAAGCTGTTGGAGATGCTCTAAGTGATGTGGGTATATGAAAAGCCAAGGGTTTGGAGCTGAATTTCGAACGCAAGGATCAAGCCATACTCAATGTTTAAACAGGGTTTGTGCTCAGCGGATCGAATATGCAAAAACCCATACCCAACCCAGTTGTTTCCTAGACTAGACAGGTCGACCCGGTTTCGACCATACCCGATAAGTATAAACCCGTAACCAGAATTATCGGGTCCGGGTACGGTGGACCAACGCTCATTTGCCACCCTTGACTCTCATTCTGACGAATTGGGATCCTCTACTAATAACTAAGATTTCCTAATAAGAATCGTGAAGAGTTGGGAAGGGGGCCCACAAGGATGGGTGGGAAAATGAAAGGCCATGATGAAAATGAAAGGGTAGGATCTCCTTATTAGGAGATTTTCTTTAGTAGAGGATCCCAATCCCGTTCTGACATCCCTCCTCAATTGCTCAATCATCGATAACGTCCTTCACGATTTACTTTTTTTCCAGGTAACATCACCCGTCAAATCAAGTGTTGCCCCCCACATCATTTTCCTCCAAGAGAAGAAGCAGATCCAAAACAAGGACACATGACCGAACATCGCCTGAAAACTGAATGATTCTAGTAACTAATTATGTATAACGCACGCAAGAACTGTGATCTATCATAGAACATGCAAAGCTGCGAGCTGTCCTTCAGGGGAAGTGCAGGTAGCATAAAAAAAAATTTCAATGCAAGAAGCAAACCATGCGGACATTGTCGACATATGCAGGCTTCCATTTTTTACGTCCGCGCGCAAAGTCATTTGGTCCATCAATATCATGCGCCGATCGACTTAGGCCCCTCGTATATTGGAAACTGGCTGAATGAGCCAGCTCATCGATCGAACCCCACCCCCACCCCCCGATCAAGTGACGAGGTCTGTTTCGTATCGGAAGGAATTTATCAGGTCATGCCAGAAGAGAGTCTTGAACAGAACCACCGCACTTACAGAGGGGTACAACGTCGGTATTGAGACGAGCATGAAAACTGCTCCGATCTCCCTCCCCGACGATCAGAACTGCTCGATCTTCCCCGTATTCGGCCAGCTAGCTGGATTTTAACCCTGTACCATATATGAAGGACGTAACAAATTATACCAGTGGAGGGGATGCATTCAGTTTGTTTGCCAAGGAAAGGTCACATGGATAAAGAGCTGTGATCATGAAACGCAAGGACTTTGAATGGGTTGTCCTTAACAAATAATCTGGCGCCATTCGCATCGTTTGGATCCACTACCAAACATGAAAAAACAGTGGCACGCCATGATTGAGCAATCAGAGAGGCAGTTTCTCACCAGACCCTCCTCAGCTTCACACGATCCAGTACCGTACAATCAACCACGTTGTCGCTTGAGCAACGTTACAAATCCAGCAAGGAATCCGGTACTCCACACACATATATGTATACATGCCTCGGGTGGAATTATGTGCAGCGTAGAAGAATGGAACAAATAAAGGACAAGGCGCACGATGCAAAGAATAAATATTCGGTCATTCTTAAATTTAGTTCCTCCAACCATTACACAAAAACTCCGAAGTTACTGTGAGGATCAAGGATTATAGTTTTATATTAATTCTAACAGTCATAAACAGGTCTAAGGAGCGAAAAGATAAAAGTGAATAATAGCTAGCTAATCTGCTAAAGATCTAGATAGAAACAGAGAGCTTTCTAGGTGGTTTTCGACAATCACTACAAGCAGGGGTGTGTAGATTTGCTATTTTGTTAGGCATCCACTGCAGCAGAAGGCAGAGCATAGAAAGCCAGATGTCTATCTCCAAACACATGATATATGACAACAAAAGCGGATTGCACTTGAGCAGAACGGATTGTAGTACGCATTTCAAAAGAATCAAAAGTGTGAACAAATTGGTAAATTCCTATATGAACAAAGAAGCTGAAGTAAATAAAATAGAAGCCATTCAGGAAAAAAAAAGAAAAAAAAAATTAAAGCATCTTTAGAGAAGGTAATTCCACATTAACCTTACTAGAGAACTTAATCATAGTTGCAACTACCCTGCTCTCAGCTAAGAAGTTAAATTATATAAGTTTTTCATGGCAAGATTCAATGAATTATTGAGGCCTTCACATTTTACTTGAATCGAAATACATGATGAAGATCAAACGTCGACGATGAAAAAGCAAAACAACAATGAAAAACAGAAAGAAAGAGGGACTTTCGTATGTTGCAATTACACACGTTCATTAATGATGGCCAGCTCATTATGCAATAGGAGGGGAACGACTCACCTATCCCCCTGTTGGTCCCATATTTTTGGTCCTTGGGGAATTTTTCATAAAAGAAAGGAAAAATGTTGTCACTACACATAAAACTGTGCTTCCTTGAGAGGCAGAAAAATATTGTTTGAATCCTCTTTTTAATGTATATACCTGTTGATACATCTTACGAGGAATTTCATTCTTTTATAAGTGGTCTAAATATACCTATTTTGTTTACCCTTTTCGATAATCTAAAATCCCTTTCCAACCTTTCCCATGAAGTGATTATTCAAGACAAGTTTCTAAGATGAAGGGGAAAAAAAAAGAAGGAACACAACTCAAGAGGGGGCTGTTTGGTTAAAAAAAATTCTCTTGAAAGCCTGCCGAAGTATCACTTTTTTGGCAGGCTTCAAGCAAAAACGCCTCTAAAAAAGAGGATTTTGCTTGAAAGCCTGTCAAAAAGTAGCACTTTTGGTACTTTTAGCAGGCTTTCAACAGTAACTTTCCCTCAAAAACAGGGAACCAAACAGCCCCTTAAGGGCCTGATACCAAACTCATCTCTCTTTTATCGCTTCTTTTGACGCCTGGCCTAGCGGCTAGCAGCTAGAAAACAAGACGGGGACAGCATTAAAGAACATCACAACAATCCGGAGCAATAGCTAAAATTAAAATAGGCTGATTTGGTTAGTCTCATCAAAATCTTGGACCATTTGCATGAAGAAACATTTGGGCCAACATGGTGTTATTTGTTTTATATGGCGCATGTGTGTGTACACCTAAGTTCGGATAGGTATACGTTCTTTATAGCAATTATCTCCATCATCAACACGGATTTGGACGACAAAATAAGGACAGTACATCATCAAGCATTTGACATAAGATCTGATTACCAAGGCTCATGGAAAACACAATGACATATACATAAATTCGAGCTAAGAATTAAAATACGAAACCGATGTCCTGCATGGACGATCCAGCATCAACTCAAAACTATATGTCAGTGGCTACTGAACATGTATAGCTGAAGCAAGGAATTAAAAGAGAGAGAAAGATAGGTATACTATTACCGAAGAATCGAAGAAATCCTCATGTAAATAATGAGAAAATGATTCAAATACAGGGAAGCAATCGACACTCTACCCAAACTCCAATTTTATCGCGGAAGTGAAATTAGTTACAAATGTTTCGACATCTTTCCCTGTACTTAAGCTAGTGAGTACTATTACATATTTCCGATAAAAAAGTGTGGAACATAAATTAGCGAGCCTTCCATCTGCACATTTTTAATGGCACATGAGCTTGAGATACATCAAGAAAGGACCAGAATGTTACATGAACAAAAAGCTCATTCGTTATCACAATATACGGATGCTACAAATTCAAGCGGCATAAGTGAAAAAGCCACCACCCCTCATCGGCACACACAGCTTCACCCAAGAAAGCTACTTTCAGCGAAACGGTGTCAATATGTGTGGGACTGTGTGTACCTTTTAGTTTTAATCAGAAAAGACTATATCCACCAAAAGGTACTGAGAAAGAAAAAGATTCATATCTGATGGCATCTCTAATATCCATCACACCTGCAATCCCTGCAGTGACATCCAGAATAAGAACATATTTTAATTATTGACATTAAGGTAGGAAATAAATGGAACATGAAAAATTGAATTAGCCATTAATCCAAAAGCAACATAATAATGAATATAATGCAAAAAGCAGAAACAAGCCCCCCCGTGTCTATAGGTAAGTGGTCGATCAAGTAGATTACATGTGAGCTTTTATGTATGTCATATGGTGTATATCTCTCCAACTTCCAGAATAACATGAATGACCAAATATTTATCACAACACTAATTCACACATTAAAGCAACGCAGGATGGTCCTTCAGACTTACCAAATCAAAGCCAACATATTGCTGCAATAGAAATCAGGACTGATACAGGAGATCTACACGACCAAGACCCTAGGCGAAGCAACCCAACCAAGACCCCAGTCGATACCCCAGATGCCACACCCCACTCGACACGAAGGACGATGTTAGTTGACACATGTCAGTCGACACGAAAGGCGTCACTACTCGACACGTCTCGTGTCGACTCGGAAATAGATTAGGAAACTTTCATATTTTTGGTTATTTCCTTTTAAATTCGGACTTTCTTTTTATTAGGGTTAGGATAGGATTAATTGGCTATAAATATTAGTTTATTTTGTGAATTGTAATTAACTTTTCAATTATTCAATTAAGAAAAATTTTCTCCTTGCTTTCGTTCTCAAACTTGAGAAATTTAGAGTTTGTTGATTCAAGCTCGTAAAATACCTGCTATTGTCAGGGCTCGTCGGCATCGGAACGATATCCGATAGGCCTCCTCATTTCTACGTCTGCGTCAAGTGGTATCAGAGCTTCGGCTTCAACATCCTCGACAATGGCTGATGACGACGTGAAGGAGCTTTCTCTACAAGATCTTTATGCGAGAATGGAAGATTTGGCACGATGGAGGCGTCTCTTCAGAACCTTCAACAAGCCATTGAATGACTTACCCTTCACCTCAACAATGAGAATAATTTCGCCGACGGTCTTCACCTAAACAGACCCAAAGTTAGGTAGCCACGATATCCACCCCCGTACAATCCTCAAACCCCTCTAGTTCATCCCCTCCAAATCAACCACGTCCAAACCAACCACCTCAATATCAACCTCCTCCATATCAACCCCCTCCACATCATCGACGATTTCCTAAACAAACTCTTCCCCATGATGATTACAGCGACGACGGAGTGGACTATGATAACCAATTTGAAGGGCCATGGTATGATAACGTGTCGAGCGCAGAAGAGGGAGATCGACCTTATGGGAGAGGTCGGGGTAAAGGCTTCAACCCTCGTCACAACTACCACTGACAAGGTCGACATCATCAGGAACAAGAATATCGGATGAAAGTAGAGTTTTTTTTCCTTTGGAGGAAATCTAGACATAGAGGCTTTCCTGGATTGGCTCTACGAAGTGGAGAAGTTTTTTAAGATGGCTAATATTCTCGAAGCAAACCAGATGAAGTTTGTGGCATATCGTCTCAAAGGAGGAGTCGCAGCATGGTGGGATCAGATTCAAACTACTAGGCGATGGTAAGGCAAGCAACCAGTTCGGGTTTGGCGACGCATGAAGCAGTTACTCCAAGCTAGGTTCCTACCACCCGACTACAAACAAATTCTCAACAACTAGTTCGAGCAATGCCGTCAAGGAATCAGATCAGTAAGCGCTTATACCGAAGAGTTCTTCCGTCTTACTTCTCGTTGCGATTTGTCTATGAGCGAAGAGCAACTCGCGACCAAATATATCGGAGGTTTAAAGTATTCAATTCAAGAGAAAATGACCATCCACAATGTGTACTTTGTGGACGAAGCCCATAACATGGCTCTCAAGACGGAAAGATTGTCCTCCAAAATGTTACCTTTCAGACGAACCGAACAGGAAGGTTCGGTCGAGAAGGCGAGAGGAGAGTCGTCCGGGCAAATGACAATTGATCGGCATGTTCCTCCACGGTCGGCCGAGCGGTCGAAAAATCAACCACAGCCCCCGACGACTCAAGCAAGTCTATATGCCAAGCCGACTGTAGGGAAGTATTTCCGATGTCTCCAACCAGGGCATAAGTCCAACGAGTGCCCGTAGCGACGGACGGGAGGTCAATCTTGCGGATTATGAGGAAGCTGATGATTGACACACAGCATCTGAAGAAGAGTACGAGGAGGAGGTTGTCGAGATTGAGGGCGACAATGTGTCATGTGTTGTTCAACGACTCCTATGCGCTCAGAAGACTCCAGATTCTTCACAATGACATCAAATCTTCTTTTCTAGGTGTGCAGCCTCATCATTAACAATGAAAGCTGTGAGAATATAGTGTCAAAGGCCTTGGTAGATCACTTGAAATTGCCAACCGATACCAAGCATGTGCCTTATACCATCGAATGGATCAAGAAGGGTCCCTCCGTGAAGGTGACCGAAATATGTCGCGTGCCACTATCACTAGGCAAGACTTATAGCGATTCTGTTGCTTGTGATGTTGTGGATATGAACACGTGCCATGTATTGTTGGGACGGTCGTGGCAGTATAATGTTGACGCTAAGCATGCTGGCAAGAAAAACGAGTATTCTTTTGTGTGGATGAATAAGAAGATCATCCTACCACCTATTCCACCTTCTCCAAAGCACCCCAAAGATCAAAAGTCCAAACGTATATCTCTTTGTAACAAGGGAGAGTTTCTGGCCGAGTTAAAAGAGTTGAAGCAGAGGTTTGTTTTAGTTATGAAGGAAGAAGTAAAGATACTCATTGAGGTCCCAGAGAAGATGAAATCGCTGCTTAAGGAGTTCGAAGTGTTAATTCCTGAAGAGCTGACAGCGGATCTTCCTCCTATGAGGGATATTCAACACCACATTGATTTCATTTCGGGTTCAGTGCTTCCTAATCTCTCTCATTATCGCATGAACCCGCAGGAGAAGAAGATATTACAGGACACCATTGAGAACCTTATTAAGAAATGCCACATCCGAGAAAGTATGAGTCCATACGCAGTTCCGACCCTGTTGACACTAAAGAAGGATGGGAGTTGACGGATGTGTGTTGATAGTAGAGCTATTAACAAGATTACAATCCGCTATAGGTTCCCAATCCCGCGGCTGGACGACATGTTAGATCAGTTGGGAGTGAGCGTCTTTTCAAAGGTCGACTTGATGAGTGAGTATCATCAGATCCGAATCCGACCCGACGACGAGTGGAAGACTGCATTCAAGAGTAGTGAAGGCCTCTATGAATGGTTAGTGATGTTTTTTGGATTGTCGAACGCTCCAAGCACCTTTATGCTTTTGATGAACCAAATTCTGAAGCCTTTCTTGAAAAGATTTGTAGTCGTCTACTTTGATGACATTCTCATCTATAGCCGAGAACAGAAGCATATGTTGCATCTCCGAGAAGTCTTCCAAGTGCTAAAGGAGAATGAACTTCACATCAACCTTAAGAAGTGTGTGTTCTTGACAACCCAGTTAGTGTTCTTGGGGTTTGTGGTAAGCTTGCAGGGGATCCAAGTTAACGATGATAAAGTCAAGGCAATCAAGAATCGGCCGACTCCAAAAAGTGCTACTAAAGTAAGAAGGTTTTATGGGTTAACATATTTTTATCGGCGTTTCATTCGCAATTTCAGATCTATAGTTACTCTCATGATAAATTGCTTGAAGAATGATGTTTTCGAGTGGACCGATGAAGCAAATGTAATTTTTGCCCTTATCAAGGAGAAGATTTCTACTGTACCTATATTAGCATTTTTAGATTTTGACAAACTCTTTGAGCTTGAATGTGACGCGTGTGGTGTAAGTATTGGAGCAGTCCTCTCTCAAGAGAAGCGCCCCATTGCTTTCTTGAGCGAGAAGTTGAATGAAGCTCGGCAGAAGTGGAATACTTATGAGCAGGAATTATATGCTGTTTATCGTTCTTTGAAGACTTGGGAAAGTTATCTCATTACTAACGACTTCGTGATTTACTCCGATCATCAGTCTCTTCAACACTTCAAGAATCAAAAGCATATCAACAAAATGCATGGACGTTGGGCTTTCTATTTTGAGCAGTTTAACTTTACTTTGCGACATAAATTAGGAATCGACAATAAGGTACCAGATGCTTTGAATTGGTGGGTATCTTTGTTGAGCGTATTGCGAATTAAAGTTGTTGCTTTTGACTGTTTAAAAGAGCTTTATGTTGATGATGAAGGCTTTCAGGAGATTTTGGCAAAGTGTTCGACAAGACAACCAACAGGAGACTTCGTTATCATGGACGGTTTTCTGTTTAAAGGAAATCGGTTTTGTATTCCCAGGACGTCATTGAGGGAAAAGATAGTTCGAGACTTACATGGTGACGGGCTTGGTGGACACTTTGGGCGAGAGAAGAATGTTTTAAGTCGTGAGAAGAGATATTATTGACCGAGTTTGAGAAAGGATGTGGCGACACTTGTGAGAAGTTGTCAAGTGTGCCAAGTTGCAAAGGGGCAAGTGCAGAATATTGGTTTGTATACTCTTCTACATGTACCCAAGGATATATGGGAAGATTTGAGTATGGATATTGTGTTGGGACTTCCCCGAACACAAAGAGACGTAGATTCAATCTTTGTGATAGTGGATCGATTTTCTAAGATGGCTCACTTCATCCTGTGCCGCCCACAAGACTTCGGATGCACCACATGTTGCACGACTATTTTTTCAAGAAGTGGTTCGGCTACATGATGTTCCTAGTTCGATTATTTCGGATAGGGATAATAGGTTCTTGGTGATTTTTTGGACTACTTTATAGCGACAATTTGACACTTCATTGAAGTATTCTAGTACAGCTGGACAAACGGAAGTGGTCAATCGGACGTTGAAAAACTTGATTCGATGCATATGTGGAGAGAAGCCAAAGATGTGGGATCAAGCTATACCTCAAGCTGAATTCGCCTACAACTTAACTGTTCATAGTTCCACAGGTATGTCACCTTTTTCCATTGTTTATAGGAAGACCCATCGACATCTCCAAGATTTGTTGAAGTTGCCGACAAGTAGCAAGTTCAATGGCCGAGAATACTTTTAACATTCAGGAGGAAGTGTGTACAAAACTCGAGAAGGCTAATGCAAAGTTCAATGCGAGAGCAGACAAGAAGAGATGACTCAAGGTGTTCAATGAAAGAGACATGGTGCTGGTTTACTTACGGAAAGAACGGATGTCGGCTGGAACATACAACAAGCTTAAACCGAAAAGATATGGACCGTTCAAGATTCTCAAAAAGATCAATGACAATGCATATGTTGTGGATCTTCCAGAAAGAATGGCTATGTCTAAAACATTCAACGTGACGGATATTTCTGATTATCATCCTTCAATCGAGTTGTATTTAAGTGATGCGAACTCAGAGACGAGTTCTTTCGAAGGAGGGACTGATACAGGAGATCTACACGATCGAGACCCCAGGCGAAGTAACCCAGCCGAGACCCTAGTCGACAAAACGTGACCCCAGCCGAGACCCCAGTCAATAACCCAGCCGAGACCCTAGTCGATAGGACGAGACGACACACCCCAGTAGACACGAAGGGCGATGTTAGTCGACACATGCCAGTCGACACATGTCAGTCGACACGAAAGGCGTCACTACTCGACAAGCCTCGTGTCGACTCAGAAACAGATTTGGAAAGTTTCATATTTTTTGTTATTTCCTTTTAAATTCGGACTTTTTTTATTAGGGTTAGGATAGGATTAGTTGGCTATAAATATTAGTTCATTTTGTGAATTGTAATTAATTTTTTAATTATTCAATTAAGAGAGTTTTTCTCCTTGTTTTCGTTCTCAAACTTGAGAAATTTAGAGTTTGTGGATTCAAGCTCGTGAAATACATGCTAATGTCAGGGCTCGTCGGCATCGGAACGATATCCGATAGGTCTCCCCGTTTCTACGTCTACGTCAAGGACACTAGGAAAATCATGATTCCTTGTTTTGTTTTCAGCTAAGCTACTTTCGAGTTTTAAGACTGGCGTTTTCCACCCCACAAATGTTAGCGAGGAATTCAACTTGACCAAGGACTTTACATATGTTGCCGTGGTTGCAACTTCATGTAAATCCTATAAGGACGTAATTGATTTGCCTAGAGAAGTAAAGGGAGCTGGATTTCAAGAGGAGTATCTCTGATCAACACTAGCAAAATCAATAGGTCTTTTATTTTTGTTTTCAGCCAAGCCCTTTTGAACATAATGTTTTTCAACATTAGCAATGACTTTGCACCTGGGCCAGGATTTTGCAGATGTTAAAATGATCCCCAACTTCATGTAAATCCTTGAGGGATAACAGATTAAGAGTGTTAATGCAAAGTAATTAATACTAATTTTCAAATGTAACTCTTAGTTTAGATTTAGAACTTGGATTTTCGTTTCAGCCTAAGATCTAAAAACCAATTGTGACTTTTGCATCATCTAGCATCACTTCTTCTTTTATCTTCCATACTATCTCTTTTATGAATTATTATATATTAACTAGCTATATTCAATTTCTCAAAAGTGCGCTTTGCTTTGAGGGCACTTCATTTTTCCCAGTTCTCCAAGATTTGTCTACGACTCTACGCCATTTTATGATCTTCAATTTCTTAGCTTTCTAATGGTTTCATCTACGATATAATATCCATTGTTCTTAATGCTTTTACATTCTAATGTGACCATGAAGTGTCCTTTATATCATTGGTCAATTGTAAACGATTAATCCATGACAGTTGTCCATGAGGCAAAAATTACTTGTCCGTTTCAGAGCCTTGGAAAAGGAAACCATGGAATTTACTAGTACTAGATAATTGCCAGATCCACTAATTTTAAACTCATCTTGGGAGTAAGAAAGATTTCCATGTGATACTTAGAAACATCATATCAAAAGTACTGTGTTTGAATTATATAGCGTGAGTGAGGATGCTAAAGGGAAAACATCCAGGTAGATTGAGATGATCACAGGGGAACTTGACTGTGAAAGTGAAAATCAATAACGTTACCTCACTTAGTTGCCTCCACCTAATCGTGTGATTAGATAAGTATTCTAACATTAATGTGCATATCTAGAATGAAAATGAGAGCACCAGTCATGCCGCCCTTTAGGAACTGATAAGTTTATGGGAAAGGAATGAAACATAAGTAAACTTACAAGTCCTAAATCTCAATAGCATGTAGACCAACTGTCTAACTATAAATTATAGCAAACCTGATCATTACTATGCGAAGAGCTAACTAAATTATTAAGTCTGGCCAAGTTACTTATTAAGGATGAATTTCATTCTGACAGGCACGTATCCAGAATTCTCAACTGTGAGGTAAACACTATTGAAACACAGAAGAAGCCTACTCTGCCTTCTTTAAGTAGAACTCCTGAGGCATAGATTGATTAATAATGATAACGTGGTTTTTTCGATGAAAAAGTGTATTATAAAAAATTTAGGTCTTCCCCACCACTCAGCTATAGCGAAGTGGTGAATTCTATGAATCACCGCAAGCAATCATCTTCTAAAATACAAACAGTGTATGGGAGCATAAAGATCTTTTCAGTTCTCCATCTTGAATGTGAAAATTATACTGAAAGCCCCAATAAAAACTCTAAAATATGTAAAATGGACAAATTTTCAAAACCAACCCCTTTCACTATTTATTTTCAAAAAAAGATCGCTTTTGCAAAAATTTTCAAAAACCGACCTGGTTTCAGCCTGGAGCTGAAATCAGGTCGGTTTTTGAAAATTTTTATCCGAAACTTCACAGGAGTTGAACTCCCGTGAAGTTTAGTAAAATTGCTAAACTTCACGGGAGTTGAACTCCCGTTTTTTTTTGAACTGCGAAACTTCACGGGAGTTCAACTCCCGTGAAGTTTAGCAGTTTTACTAAACTTCATGGGAGTTCAACTCTCGTGAAGTTTCCGAAGTTTTTTCACAAAAACCGACCTGGTTTCAGTCCCAAGGCTGAAACTAGGTCGGTTTTTGCAATTAAGTTTGAAAGGGGTTGTTTTCTGGGATTAAATTTCCAAATAGGTTGGTTTTGAAAATTTATCCTATGTAAAATTCAACATACCAGCTTTTCTTCCTCTCCCCACTCAACATTAACCCTGTTTCCCACAGGAATTCCAACAACAAGCATTAGATCACTCCTCATCCGAGGAACTATACCCCCCAAGGTCATCCTCAGACTCATCACCATCTTCCTCATTCTCCAAACCCTCCCTCCTAAACCTCATCAACTCCAAATACTTCTCTCTAACCCCAACAACGGGATGCTTCTCGATCAACTCCCTCCCTCCCCCATACCCCTCTCGAAGCACCACAGTATGCGTCCCCAGCTTCTGAGATATGTAAAATATCCCGGGATGCCTCTCGAAAACCTTAGTAAACTTCTGTGGCAACCCAAGCATCTTCCTCATATTACTCACGTTCCTCCTCTCCGTCTTCTTCCCAACCATTAAATGCAGCATCTCATGAAACACCCCCACCACCCTCTTCTCAGCCTCGGTCCGTCTCCGGTCGAGCCTGAGGGCCCGCGGTACGCGGCTCGTGTAGGCACGTCTTGCCACTGCCCTCAGCCACTCCGCGCACTTCCTCTTCAGTCCAAAACCCCTAGGAAAACTTATCGGGAACGCCAAGTTCGAATCTTTGTCCCCGTTCTCGCTCCGCCTCTGCAGCTCGGAGACGGCGAGGAGCGGGTCCCACGTTAATAGGCGGAGCCAGAGCCTCTCGTCGTTAGGGGGGCGGTGGACGGAGAAGAATTGGGGGTAGCGAGGGATGAGGGTCTGCTGGTAGTCAACAGCGAGCCCGAGATCATACCGGAGGAGATCGATGGTGTGTAGAGGCAGGGACCGGTCGGCGGTGAGCATGAGGAGTTTGCGCAGGCGGTCGACGAGGCCGGGCTCAGCTAGGGTTAGGGTTCGTACCTCCTCCTCGCGTAAGCGGAGGGCGGCGGCGGAGAGGGAGCAGGGGCGACCAGAGGATCGAGGGTTGAAGATGGCGGGAAAGCGGCGGAGGAAGGAGGCGGGGTCGCGGAGGCGAGCTACGGTTAGGGCTTGGGGGGAGACGGAGGAGGCGGGGGAAGACCTGAAGACACAGCATCCCCCCTTTGTGTCCGCCTTCTTCTGCTGATGTGGGGGTTTCCGTGGTAGCGCTCTTGCGATATGAAATATAAAGCGAACCCTCAAATCTCTCACGTTTAGAATCTGGCCCCTTAAAATCACTAAAACTGCTATCGGGTCCATTTGAGTTACGCGGAAATAGTCGCTCAAATCATGGAAATTTCTATTAGGTCCCCAGATTTTTTTTAAGTAATTCTGAAATTAGTCAATCCTGTCAAGAGTAGAAATAGCAATCGGAGGGATTAATTTGAGATGCATTATGATAGTTCGAGAATCTAATACGGATTTCAATGACTCGGGGAGCTAATGTCCCTCTAATTGGTGCTTCCACGCATGATGCGAGGTCCTAATTCCAAGTAATCTAAGAATTGGAGGCCTGATAGTAATTTCAATAATTTGAGTGAAGAACTTCAAAATAACCTAAGATTTAAGGGACCCGGTATCAACTTCAATGATTTAAGGGACTAATTCAGAATGTGAAAGATATAAGGAGCTAAGGGGGCGTTTTTTTACATGCAAGTGAGATAAAAGTAAGGAAGTGACTTTCTTTTAATATTTTATGTGTTTTGTTTGTATGCAAGTAGTTATGAAAGTGAAATGTAAGGAAGTTGCCACATAAGATTCAATGTAATTTTGACTTCCTCCAAAAAAAGTGGTTAAGTCAAATAAAAGTGACAAAAATAGTAACCAGTTTTAATTAAATGATTTTAATTATATTTACTAATTGATCTAACTTTGTCCCGTCATCTTCACATTGCATTTTCAACAATAAATTTATTTCTTTAAACAAACATTGTATTCCACTTACATGCTGATGTGGATGTGAAAGTTATTTTGTAAAAAAAAAATAACTTACACAATTTCAATTTACTTTAACACCCCCTAATATTGAGAAAGGAGGGAAAACCTTTTATGTTAAGCCAGAAATTCGAAGTTCGACAAAGGAATCGTATGGGAGAGTGTAAGGCTACTTTTGGAGCCCATAGTCACACCTGAAACAATGAAACAGAATCCTATAAGGGAACTAAGCGAGCTTTGCAGCAAAAAATCATATAATTTGAGTTTCTCAAAGGCTCTGGGCATGGTCAAGATTCATTGACAGCTACAGTTGAAGCAAATGGAGTTGTTTATTAGGCAGCAACAAAAGAAAATGATAACAAGATGGCCAAGAAACTAGCTGCAATGGAGTTGCTGAAAACCTTGAAGACAGCTATACCTGGACTTTAATTTTTTATAATTTACAAAAAAAAAATTTGTCATGGTCTATTTTTACTAATCTAGTTTTAGTCACTTTTTTGCTTAGTGCAATAGATGAAGAAGGTGATATGCATAGTTATTTATGAATGTCAAACATAGAAAATGTTCGTCCATATTATGCTATATCAGAACAGTTGGTTATTAATAAAGTCCACCGCTCATACACATTTGCGTATAGAATATCACACATCATATTTATGGGACAATAAAGTCCATATTTTTGGTATATAGGAGCTTGATGGTAAATGAATGTCACTAAAAATAAATTATCATTTTATTAATGTTTCGAACTAGTTAGGATACAAATCACATACCTTAAATGTGGAATTTTTTAGGTTTTTATTTTATTTTTAGTGCAAATATGGCAATAAAAATTTCCCAGCTTACAGTTCTTCAATCAATAACAGCTTGGTCATGAACACCAGCAAGGCAGTCAGTACGCGCACCAGGCTAAATAAAGACAACAAAACGGACTCGTAAACAAGAGCAGCAATTCGTTTCCATGTACAAGAAACTAAACATGATGAAACGTGCAATTCTATGGTAATTTACTTTCAGTGACATTCATTTACCATTAAGCTCCTATATACCAAAAAAATATTGACTTCGTTGTCCCATAGTTACCATGCGCAACATTATGTATACAAATATACATGAGAAATAGACTATTAATAACTAGCAGTTCTGATATAACATGGACGAACATTTTCTATGTTTGACATTCATAAATAACTACGCCTATTACCTACATCTATTGAACTGGGCAAAAAAATAACCAAAATCAGTAAAAATAGACCATGAATTTTTTTTTTATGAATTATAAAAAAAATTAAAGTCCAGGTATAGCTGTCTTCAAGGTTTTCAGTAACTCCCTTGCCGCTAGCTTCTTGGCTGTCTTCTTATCAGTTCCTTTGGATGTTGCCTCGTACACAACTCCATTTGCTTCAACTGTAGCTGTCAATGAAGCTTGACCATGCTCACAAGCCTTTGAGAAACTCAAATTATATGCTTTTTTGCTGCAAAGCTCGCTCAGTTCTCTTACAGGATTCTGTTCCATTGTTTCAGGTGTGACTATGGGCTCCAAAAGTGGCCTTATACTCTCCCAGACGATTCCTTTGTCGAATTTCGAGTCGATATAAATTGCTCCAGATATAGATTCAATAACATCGGCCAGCACCTGTTTGATAAACCCATAAAACAATTTTATGATGATGTTGGGTAATTAAGAAACATGCACAGATAATAAGCAAAGCTAAGATGGGAATGTTACGTTGAACTTTTTTTGCAAAAGAACACCAACAAAAGAAGAAATAAGTTGGTTCTAAGTATTTCCATACACTTTTCACGAGCCCGTGAATTAATTGTCATTCATTGTCCTATAAAATCAAGGAATGGCATAGAAATGCTTTTTTGAAGGCCATTTAGTTACAATCAAGTTCCCATGAAGCCAAAAGATGGCCATCTAATTTCTTTTCATGCACATCTAGAGATCTGAAGGAGAAAATAAACTGAGCCATAATTTATTCCGAGCCATATTTTGACAAATATTTTACATCCATATCCATCCCTGTACATGATTTCCATATGGACAAAGATTGTACTAGACTGATCAAGCATCAAAATAGACCTTGAAAATGATAGTGAGAAAATCTTGAAAGACTTACCTTAGGGAGAGCTACACCCGCTTCCCATCCATATGATGATCCCGAAAATGATTGTGAAAAATTGTTGAGGTAAAACGTCATTTGCTTATGAAGTTCTGAGGATGCATGAAGAATATGTTTGTTCAGCCCTGCTTTAGTTGCTGCATGAGCATAGCAATCATTGTTTACAGAAGCAGACCTAAGGTCCGTGATCAATCCAGGAGTTGCTCCAGGATATTTATTATAGAGGTAGACGGTGATAAGAAGGTCCAAAACTGCATCCCCAAGGAACTCAAGGCGCTGCACAAAAAAATTGAAGGAAAAAAAAGAGTTAAACTGGGTGATTTTAAGAAGAAACTTTAGAAAAGCATCCAGGAACGAAATTTAATCAGAACTGATAGGAGAAACAATAGGATAAAATATTGGTAAGAAATTTATTTAAGATGCCTAAAAGAATACCTTGCAAAAGAGAATAACAAACATATGTAGTTTAAGGAAAATACAACTTACCAGGCTTTTATATCAGGAAGAGATCAAGAAGTTTCAGAAACTAGATAATATCAATAATGTAATACATAGGAAAATCAATACCAATACCATGTGATAGCACAAAGACTCCAGATCGCAAATTGTGATTATGTGAAACAATAGCATATGATAACCATAACATTAATATAATATATATTCAGTCCTATGTGATGCGTGCATAGGTCAATAGCAAGTGTAGGAGAAATTAGGAAAGTATCTATGATTTTGAAAATTTGGGGATAGTAATAATGAAATAACGGATGGTTTGTTAATTACCAAGCAATGAAGCTCGTTATGAATTAGATTGTTGCTTTTGTTTTCCAAACTTGTCCATGTACTAAGTTCTAAATTATTGGAAGTTGTGCGTATAAACTTTAGGATTAACTGGAATTTTTTTAAATGGTACTAACATAGGGGTAGAACACCAAAAAAGAGCTTAAGTAATAGTAATAGATGATAAAATTAGCATTCACTTCAGCAAAAACTAATGTTATGTATTAGCCATAGAGAGATGTTACGAGGAATCACAGCTGAAAAGAAAAACCTGATAGCATTTTGGAATATCCTGGACTTGATATGAACCATGTGTCAATGCTTCAACTAACAACGAAGGATCATTGAATGTATACTTCAACAAGACCTGGAGATCTTTAAGGTTTATAAACCTTTCAAGCCTAGATAAAATTGGCTTCTCAACAACCATTTCCTTACGGAAATCAATCGCCAAACCAAGCCATTTAAGGAAGTGAAAGGCTGCCGGTTCCCCTCCAGAACTCAGGTACGCTCCTATCAGAGCCTCCACAGAATCAGCAACTACCTTACTTTTGATATTCCTTATACCTCTGTTATAAATATTTGTCTGGGTTGAACATGAAGTTTGATTTTGCTCATGAAAACTAAGACAATCTCCAGGAATAATCCACTTTTTGTAATCAAACTTCTCAGTGCGAATAAACCCCTGCCATTTAAAATAAAGGAAAATCATTGAATTAAATAAGAGGAATTGATTTAGCGAAGAGTGTAAAGTTTTGCACAGGAAAACTAAGAATTTTGAACAGCTGATAATCCTAATGGAGAAAAAAAGGTTATATGAAGATATGTGAAGCAAAGCAGAAGCAAAGGATTATGGAAAAACTACAGGGATACAGAAAAACTACAGTACAAATTTCACTGTGTAAGCAAGCATTTGACTTTGAGGATGAATGAAAAAACCCTCATACTTGTCAGCTAATTACAAGAAGCGGACTGTCTATGGCAGCAGCGCAATTACAAAGCCATAATTAGGTTTGTGAAGGTGCATATAAGATTTTCTTAAAAGTCCCTCCCGCTATACCAAAACTCTAAAATTGTGGTGAGGGTCAAGTGCTATACTTCTGTATTCTATCATCAGCCCTCCCCCCTCCCCAGCCCAAAAAAGCACAAACACACAGCCCCCACCCCCAAAAAAACACATACATGCACACAGAGACAAAAAACACATACATGTTTTAGAAACTTGTGGCCAATAACATTCAGACCTAGGTTACTCCGGTATCACCTTAAAGTCCCTACCACTACACAAAAACTTCGAAGTTTTGGTGAGGTTGAGGATTATAGTTTTGTATTCCAACAGATTTCACATCTCATTTCACATTATGTAAGGAACACTTCTGTTGAATTTCTCTATTACGTGCCAATGCCATGAAGAATCAGTTTACTAGCATGGCCAAGCATAACATAGTTGAGAGCCCTTAAAACTACAATATATTGCGACGCCCATAAACTTTGATTTATTTATTTTTTTAACTTGAAACAAAGAAAGAACAATCAAAATTTTTAACTGGTTTACCACAAACTAATAAATGAAATTTAAATATATCCTAGAAAAAAACTGAAATAATTGAAATGAAAGGTCAAAGAAATACAGTGAGATTACGCCTACAGCCAAACTGGCATAAAGAAGCATTAGAGATCAATCTCTCCCGCATAGCAGTTAATATACCCTGGTGATGATGCTCATAGGACTTGAACAAATGTTGGCTTGCTGCATATTTGAGGAAAGAGTCTCCAAGTGTTTCCAGTGATTCAAGAGAAAACTCCTCTTGGCATTTCTTGGTGGTAATGGCTTCCAATATCTAAAGAGCATATCATGTTAGACCCATTCATAAGTTTCCGAAGTGCTAGAATGTCAAAATATGAAAAAGAAAAGAATGATTTTCTATGTTATTTGAAGATTCCCAATAAAAAATATATACACTACACAGCAACATCTTCATGACTGGAGTAGCCTTTAGTTCTATAAATTTCAGTAAAGCCTATTGCATAAAACTAAAAAGATCATAGATAGCGCGGAAAAAAAAAGAAAAAAAAAGAGAAATCTTTTCTACTTTTTAGTCCTTCATAATGCATAAATGCAAAAGGTTAATACCTTGGTAACTTGAACATAATCCTTTTTCACACATTGATCCAACTGAATAACCCACTTTAATTTGACAGCAAGGACCAGAGCCTCAATACGATGCATAATAGATGGAAGGAAAGAGAATGAGTACAGGGTACCAATTGAGACAGGAGACAAAATAATTTTGCAAAGTTCCGGAGGCAATTCAACTCCAGCAGAACTAAATTCTGAAGGAAAAAAAATCATATTATCAAGCATGTGGTAAGCATAAACACCTAGAATTGAAGGACAAAAAAGATCAAAAAGATGAATAACAAACAAAAAATGATGTTGTATAATTCAATGCATACGAGTATACATGATTCTCAACACTATTTAGGAACCTTCAAGGTATAACAATTATACAAAAGATTAAGATCAAAAGCCTTATCACAAACCATAAATTAGCATGGAATCTACATGAATGTCCATGATACCAAAGGAAACATCGAATAACTACTAACAAGATAAAAAAATATTCTGTTTTTAGCATTTCCTTTCAGAACATAAATAATATAGTCTAGAAACATATCTAATGTTTGAAACATTCAAATTGGTTCTTTGCTCATCTGCTGACGACCATATACACAGGCATTAAATATCTTAATGCACATACAGATTGCTTATTTTCAATGTAGGATCA